CCGAGCTGCTGCAGGACCTCGCCTCACATCTCCCCACCTCTCCCCACATCCCCTAACACCTCCTCCCGAGCTGCTGCAGGACCTCGCCTCCTATCTCCCCACATCTCCCCACCTCTCCTCACACCTCCTCCCGAGCTGCTGCAGGACCTCGCCTCATATCTCCCCACATCTCCCCACCTCTCCTCACACCTCCTCCCGAGCTGCTGCAGGACCTCGCCTCATATCTCCCCACATCTCCCCACCTCTCCTCACACCTCCTCCCGAGCTGCTGCAGGACCTCGCCTCACATCTCCCCACATCTCCCCACATCTCCTCACACCTCCTCCCGAGCTGCTGCAGGACCTCGCCCAAGTCCACGAGGGCATCGGACACTTGGGGTCGATGTTTGAGCAGGCGGAGATCAGCCGAGATCACGCCGAGACTGCCCGCGAGACTGGCCGGGGACACGCCGACCGAACGTCGCAGTAGTGGCGGAACTAGCCACCAGTAGTAGTGGCCACTGGTAGCCGCCCGTCCTCGCCGGGAGGAGGTGCGAGACTCGGCCTGGACCCATCAGCGGTGAGGGCCTGGATGGGTCCACGCCAAGCTGGCGCACCCATGCAGCTGTGAACGGCGTCTCTTCTCACCTCTCGCTGTGAGCAGGCCAAGCTGACGCACGCGATGCAGCTCCGCACCATCCTGACCAAGCTCATGCTGCGGGGCATCCTCGCCCCCGAGTCTGCAACCTACATCGCCTCGGTCCCGCCCGCCACGCCCATCCCGCCCGAGGTGGTGCGATCGCTCGTCGCGGCGCCGGGCGCAAACCTGCCCGCCGCCCCCCCCGGCCGCCGCCGCCCAATGGATCCCTTAGTGCGCGTGCGGACTCAATGCATCCTAGGCGCCACCCTGCCCGCCACCGCCGCGGCCGCCGCGGCTCAGTTCGGCAGCACGTCGCGCTCTCCCGCCGCCGTGGTGCGCCCGCTTTCACCATCGCTCAGCTAGTCAGTCAGTTCGCGGTGTGAATTCAAGAGCCGTCCACTCACCACAGGTGCCCCCGAGCGTCGTTGCGTCGCTCGGCCTTGGCAGCAGCAGCCTCTCCGCCGCTGGCCTCGGCGGGCAGGCCCCCGTCGCGCCGCGGCCGCAGAGCGTCGAGAATCTGCAGGCGCAGCTGGACGCACTCGAGTCTGGGCTGGCGCCGCTGCACGGCGGGGTGGCGGCACCCGACGGCGCGGCCAACGTCGGCTCGCACTCCATCGACCTGCAGTCGCTGTTTTCGTCGGCGGGCTTGTTCACGGCCGGACTGCCTTGGGGCGACGAGGCGCTGCAGTTCTTCGCGGACAATGCTCCGCGAGAGCTGCGGCAGCCGCCCTACCCCGTCGACGCACACAACGCCGCCAGTGCCGCAGCGGCGACGGTGACATGCGCGCCGCTGGCGAGCGTGCCGGCATCGAGCTTGGCCAGCGCGGCGGCGGGCTTGCCGACTTCGCTGATGCAGGCCGGGGGTGCGCCGGCGACGGCGGCGCCGGTGGTGCGGGCGGGGTGAGGGGGGAGGGGGGCTGCGCCGCCCCTCTCCCCCATGCATGGCTCTGGACAGAGAGCACGCGCGCGACAGTGAGCAGTGAGCAGCGAGGCTGCAGGAGGGGCGCGGTGCGCGCTCTTGCTCGTGGCTGGACGGCGAGGTGGCGGGAGCGCGCCCGAGGGCGCTCTAGACGCGCACACTCTCTCCTAGCGGGATCGCACAGTCAAACGCGTCCGTGTCCCCCGGTTGAGTCGTGAGAGTTGCAGTTGGGAGGGGCCATGCAGCGTGAACACGGCCATGCTCCCTTGATGCACACTGACATGAGATTCCACTTGTCGTGTCGGTACTTTACGTGGACTAGCACTACGGCTCTAGGACACTTTGCGGCTTGAGATATGAAAACACTACGTGTAGAGCCGGCACCTTCTCCGAAAAAATAATCCTCGGACTCATGACCCCGGGACGCGGTCCGAGACGCGGCGAGCCCCGAGATAGCAACAACACGTCACACAAGTACACTGATCTGATCGCCTTTGAAACGTGCGTCGGATGTTGCCGCCGGCGCTGCCCGAGAGGCGCTCTCTAATCCACGTAGATGCGCTCTCTAATCCTGGCCTGCTGAGCCCCCGCCGCCCGCGCCGCCCGTGCGACGGCTGCTGGGTCGGCGTCGAGCTGCGTTCCGCTCATTAGGGCGTTCGCCATCTGCCGAGCCCGGACGTTGAGAGACCTGGCGTTGAGAGCGGCCCAGCCTTGCGGCCCAGACTCGCTCTCCTCACCCGGTGGTACGGGCCGGGGGGAGAGAGGTCTCCTCTCCCCGCCCTCCTCCTCCTCCCACACCTCCTCCTCCTCCTCGACGTCGGCCGACTCGCTGCCCGGAAGCACCGTCGGCGGCGCCGAAGCCGGCCTCGCTCTCGGCGCCGCGACTCGCCCCCGGCCTTTGACCACTGTCACGAGCTGCCGCGACTGATGCCCCACCTGAGGTAATATATTTTGATGAGGTTGCTTACTACAGGCCAGCTCCCCCTCCCCCCCCCCCCCGTCTAAAAGGGACCGGAGCCGCACGCCATTCAGAGTGCAAGGCCCAGTGCGCGTGGGTGAGCGGTGTGTGAGTGCTTCACCACCTCCTCCCGCGGGGAAGCAGAGCTCGCGACGTCGAGGCCGCCGTGCCCCTCGACCGCCCGCGCCTCCATGTCCGCCTCCGTGTCCGCCTCCGCAAGCCGCGCGTGCGCCTGGTACGCCTCCCATCGATGAACACGCCAAGGTCAGGGGGGGGGGGGGGCCCCCCAACGTTACACCCCGCCTTGGGCTTTCGGGTCCGAACCCACCCCACGAATGTCGAGGGGATACAAATGAGCCGTGGACACCCAGCGGAAAAAAAACGGCGGAATTCACCGGACTACAAATGCCCGGGGATAAAGGCGCGGGGGTGGGGGCCTTCTCGGGCCCCCG